CCCCTCCCTCCCTCCCTCCCTCCCTCCCTCCCTCCCTCCCTCCCTCCCTCCCTCCCTCCCTCCCTCCCTCTATCCCCTTTTCCTTGCTTCATTTCTTTCTTCCTTTCTGTTAGAAAAAAAACTACAACCCTTAAACCCCTTCCCCCCACCCCCTCCCACCCCTTCCCAGCCCTTCCCACCCCTTTCCACCCCCTTCCCTTCCCATTCCCGTCCCTTCCGGCCTATATCTTTCAGAACTATGTACCACTCTCGAATCGAGGTTCAAAGCCCAAAACAACAACCCTGAAACGTCTTCCCCCCACCCACTCCCACGACGTCCCACCTCTTCCCACCCCTTTCCATCCCTTTCCTATCCCCCCCGACCCCGGCCTTTAAACTTACAGAAGCATGTACCACTCTCGTATTGAGGCTCACAGCCGAGCAGGAGACCTGGAGAAGGCCGAGCAGGTGAGGGGAGAGGGGAAGTTGCGAGGAGTTGAGAGGATTTGAGAGGATTTGGGAGTGGGCAAGGGAGCATGCACCACTCTCGAATTGAGGCTCACAGCCGAGCAGGAGACCTGGAGAAGGCCAAGCAGGTGAGAGGGGAGAGGGGAGAGGAGCTGAGAGGAGTTGAGAGGAGTTGAAAGGAGTTGAGGGGGGGTGCACAGCCGAGTGGGAGACCTGGAGAAGGCTGAGCAGGTGAGAGGGGAGAAAGGAGGAGTTGCCAGGAGTTGAGAGGGTTTAGAGGATTCGAGACAATTTAAGAGGATTTGAGAGGAGGCGAGAGGAGCGTATGAGGGAGCATGTGCCACTCTCGAATCGAGGTTCATAGCCGAGCAGGAGACCTGGAGAAGGCAGAGCAGGTGAGGAGAGGAGAGAATGGGAGTTGGAAGGAGTTGAGAGGAGTTGGAAGGAGTTGAGAGGAGTTGGAAGGAGTTGAGAGGGGTTGGAAGGGGTTGAGAGGAGGTGCACAGTTGAGGGGGGTGAAAGAGACCTGGAGAAGGCAGAGCAGGTGAGAGTAGTTGCGAGGAGGGGAGAAGTTGTGAGGAGCTGAGAGGATTTGAGAGGATTTGAGAGGAGAGATCGTACAAGAAAGTATGTATAACTCTCGAATGGAGGTTAACAGAGAGTCAGTGCTGCCCACCCGAACATATTCTCCTGCCCTTACGTCCACCCCTCCCTCTCCCCTCCCAGGCATTCTTCGCGATGTGTGCGCTCATGCCTTCCACCACACCATCCTTCAATGCGCTCCTAGCGTGCACGACAAGGCACCCCCAGCACTGCCCTCCTTACCCTGTTCCTCCTATTCCCTATTCACCCCATCCCTTCCTCCCTTCGCCCCCTCAGGCATTCAACGAGATGTGTGCGCTCATGCCCCCCACCACGCCATCATTCAACGTGCTCCTAGCTGCTGTCAGCCAGGCAGGCAGGCCTGATAAGATCTCAGCAGTGCTGCAGTCCTTACCCTGCTCCTTCTCTACTCCATGTTCTCTGTTCTCCTGCCCCCATCCCCCCTCCCCCCTCCCCCAGGCCTTCAACGAGATGTGTGCGCTCATGCCTCCCACCACGCCATCCTTCAACATGCTCCTAGCAGCCCCTTGACTCCAAGGCTCCCCAGCACCCTGTGTTTCTCCTTGTTCCTTCTTCCCTCCCGCCGTTCCAGGCCTTCAACGAGATGTGTGCGCTCATGCCTCCCACCACGCCATCCTTCAACATGCTCCTAGCAGCCGTCAGCCGGGCTGGCAGGCCTGATAAGATCCCGGCAGTGCTCCAGTCGATGCAGCGGTGGGGGCGACCCAAAGACTCGAGGACATATGTGCACCTCATTACCGCTTTCCTCAAGTCAGGTGCGTGCCCCTAGTAGGGTCTCCTGTAGTGGCTGTGTAATGGGGTGAAGTGGGGCAGGGAAGGCACGGCGAGTAGGGCAAGCAGACCCAGGGGTTCCAAGACATACGTGCACCTCACCACGGCATTCCTCGAGTCAGGTGCGTGCCCCTAGTAGAGTCTCCTGTAGCGGCTGTGTAGGTCGCACAGGGCAGGCAGGCCCGACAAGATCCCGGCAGTGCTGCAGTTGATGCAGCGGTGGGGGCGACCCAAACACTCGAGAACCTATGTCCACCTGATTACCGCGAATCTGAAAGCTGGTGAGTTGGAGAGGAAAGGAGAGGGAAGGAGAGGGGAGGGCAGGGGCAGGCCTGACAAGATCCCGGTAGTGCTGCAGTCAATGCAGCGGTGGGGCCAACCAAAGGACGTCAGGACATACGTGCACCTCATTACTGCGAGTCTAAAAGCTGGTGAGTGGGTGCCATGAGGGCCAGAAGCTTACCCCATTATACTCCACTGTACCCCACTAGACCCCACTAAACCCCACTAGACCCCACAACAACAATCTGTTTTTGTCCTTTCTCTGTGCCATCTCCTCCTCTGCTTGCACCTGGCAGGCGATGAGGAGGGAGCCACGAGGGCCCTGCGGGAAGCAGCAGCCTCACCGCATCCCACCGTACTTCACCGTACTTTTCCTCTCCCACTTCTCCCTGACAGGCGATGAGGAGGGTGCCATGAGGGCCCTGCGGGAAGCAGCAGCGGTGGGAATGCAGAGGAACGACCACCCCACTCCACCCCACTGTACCCCTCTGTGCTATGTTTGACAGGCGACGAGGAGGGAGCCATGAGGGCCCTGTGGGAAGCAGCACCGGTGGGAATGCAGAGGAACGACCAGAAGCTGCCCTTCTCTTCCCTGATCCAATCTGTCTCTTGTACCCCACTATACCCCACTCTACCTCACTTCACCCCGCCGTACCCACTGTGGCAGGCGATGAGGAGGGAGCCATGAGGGCTCTGCGAGAAGCAGCAGTCGTGGGAATGCAGAGGAACGACCAGAAGCTGCCCTTCTCCTCCCTGATCCAAGTGCTCATTCCCGCCCGCGACAAGGGCGATGTGGTTCGGGTTAAGGAGATAGTCGGTCTGTCTCGTACCCTTTATAAGATGACTGATCCGCGGCTGTTCCGCGACCTCATTGTGACAATAGTGAACCGGTGGGAGAAGGAGAAGGGGGTGACGCAAAGGGGTGCTGGAGAGGAGGAGGGGCGGCTGGCGGACAAGGAAGAGGATCCTTCATGGAAGCGTCTGGTTTCGGACATTCGCGGGGTGCTGAAGGATATGGAGGAGTTGAGGATTGAGCAGACCAAAAAAACATATCAATTTTTGGAGTCCATGGGTCTGTCACATATAGTAATGGAAACTGCGTGATTTGTGGGGTGGGTGCTCTTCGAAGTGAGAGCAAAAAAATCATTAGGCTTGGCTAGTAATCTGGACAGATAAACATGCTTTAATTCCACTTCCTTTTTGGATTTTTCGTTGCAACTGCTATTCAAACCACCAAGTACCTGATTTGGATGGGTACGGTAAAAATGTTGTTTTAAATATACCGGACGTTTGTTCTGGGGCGTTTCAACTGCAACGTCTAATTCAACTGTCAATATAATTTGAGTACTAGAAGAAAGGACCTAGTTCTTCAATATTGAACAGAGGTACACTATAGAGAGGGTAATGTTGGTATACCAGTAAACCATCCGCACGAGTTGCTAGGGAGTAGAACATTTCAATCCTAGCTGTCATCGCATTCTAAACCTCTCTGCCATCACATTCCAAACCCAGCTGCCATCACATTCCCAACCTTCATTCTTAAATCTTTCTACGGTATTTGCAGGTACTAATTCTACCACTAATTTTTTTCTCCCTAGTTCTGCCGTATGTGAATGAGAGACCAAGGCAGGTGAAGCGGAACTGTTGTTGATGGTACGCCAGTGTAGTTGATTCGTACCGCACATAAACCGGCCTACCTACCTCCCATTACATGCACATCACCCCTTCCAACCGACACGGGCACTGTCTGACGATGCCAGCACTCAGATATTTCAGCCACGTCATTACATTGTGGTTTCGACGATTTTTGACCATAAATGAGATTCATTCTTCACCAGCACATGTAAGGTCCATTTGCACCTGGATAAGGCTTCGTCGAAACCACAAAATGTAAACTGACAGTTTCTGGCATCCATTCCCTGTTGGCCACAGAAAGGTGGGCAGCTCGTCATGTGTGCAAAAAACCCTAATCATGAGTAATTTCATGTGCGAAGGATATAAATTGAAGTACGGTGCTGTACAGTTTCTGTCAAGTCACCTCCAAGCAGTCCTTTCTAGCAGTCCCAAGGGCGATGTGACGGAAAGGATGGAGGGAAACCCAGCAAGATAACTGTATTTTTGTTGGATTCTGAGTGATTCGTGCATTTCTTCCCCTCTTTTTCCGCCCAGAACTGGGGTCAGCGAAAGGGTGTTCAGACGTTTTTCGTGGCGCGGTTTTGCCACACCGAGCCTTCTTCCATTTGCTCGCATCGTGTACACCAATTGGAGCAAACTGAATGTCCGATAAAGATTTGCATTTTTGTTGCCCTCAGGGTAGCGAGCGAGAGTCGTCGGATCTGGTTCCAGGCTCATCAGATTTGTGCGGTAGGCGTTTCGTGAGGCTGGTGCGAGTGATTCAGGTCAGTTCAGCCATGCACGGCTTGGTGGTGGTGGTGGAGGTGGTGAGGTGAGGTGATTCAGCCTAGCCACAGACACGCGTGCGACATTCAATTTGACTCACATTTCGCGAGGCATGGGTCTCAAACGTTCGTGAAGGTTTGAGGTCAACCGGTTACCGGTGTCGCTTATTTCGATCATAACCGGTTACCAGCCTACCTGACATGGAGGGAAGCCAAGCGTCACGCAGGCCACAAGACAAAATCCTTCTTCAGTGGTGTTCCAATTTCCACCTCCAGTGGTGTAGCGCTGTAGCCAGCCACAACTACAGTTCAGGTGTACTTCATACTGTACTGTACAAGCATTGAAATTTTGTTTCTTTTTCTGTCCGCTCCCCTCCACAGAAACGTTGCATCCGTGGAGCTCCACGCGCATGGCGCTCCACACACTGGCAGTCCTGTCATCATTACAACATCGAGCCCTCATTTCTGCGGCTGCTCCTTCTTCCCGTTCTTCAGCGAGATTCGGGTTTGTCGTTCGTTGCATGCCCGACCAATCAGGACGTGGGATTGTTTTTCCTCTCTGCCCCTGCTTTCCCTCACCTCTATCCCTCCCCAACTCCTAATCCTCACCTCCTCCTACACAATTTAGGCCTAAATTGTGGATGTGTGTTACGTTTTCGTAACCAGCAAGCCAATACGCCAGGTGGTCATTGATCTTGGTTGATCGTCTTTATTGTCTTTGTTATCCACAACTTTCACTCTAGCGCTACGAACAAGTTCACCTAGCGTATCTCAACCATTTTTTGAAGGTTTTGCGTAGCACGTAATCGCTGTCCTTCAATACCCGATAACCTTGTTCTGGCACTCCGCTACGATGGCCGTGTGTACGCCACATTCGATCAAATCAGATGAGTACAATTTCGAGAAAAACAACTTCTTTAGCCGGCCGAGCCGCCAGTCTCTAGACTCGTATCGGCCGGCGATGGGGACTCCTCCCAAGGGCCGTCCTCCAATCAGCATGTCGACTTTTCCATCGATGATGGCTCCAGGATCTACGCCGGGTAGTACGCCGGGAACTTCGCCGGGAAATTCACAAGGAGCCACCTCATCACCTTCCGAACCGAAAGCTCCAGCTGGGCTTAATATCTCCTCGTTTTCGTCGTACTCTTCTATTCACGACTCGAGGGTTCAGAAGAAGAGTCTTCTTGGCGGTAACCCAACTTTCGGCGGGAAACCCGGCGGCGGGGCGTTCGGAGGCGGAGCGTTCGGAGGAGACGCGTCGCAGAAGCACCAAAGCAACGGGTCGCACGCCAATCTCCCCCGCTGCCCGTCGCCGAACACGACTCTCGGTCGCCCCGGCCCGTCGCCGCAGTCGTCGTATCCAGTGTCGCCGGAATCGTCGGACGAGTCGTCGCCTTCCGTTGCCGCAGTGCCCGCGTCGCAGAAATCCGGTTCAGTGCTAAGATCAATTTCTGGCACCGGAAACTCGTTCTTAGGAGGAGGTAATTCGTTTCTAGGGAGAAGCGGCGCGTCTGGTGTTGCCGCGCGGTTGGCTGGCGAGAACAACAGCGGCTCGGCGACTCCCCCGCGAACTTTCGCGAACGAGTTCGGCGCGAAGGTTACCAACAAGTTGCAGGAGCTGGGAGGGAATGGGGGTGGTGGGTCGGGAACTTCGTCCGCTGCGAGCTCTGGCGAACTTGCGACGACTGCGACTGATTCTCCGCCAATCAACGCGATCTGCTTAAACATGCAAGGTTAGTTGGACATATATGTATATTTCTGCGATCTTGTAGATCATGCGGGCATCTGTAGAATGCGTTATCCTCGCTTACTGCTGCTTACTTAGTTGCTAGTGTCCCCTAAATTTCTGTTATTTTATTTCCGTGTTTTTTCCTCCTTTTCTCTCGTGTGCTCTTTTTTCTGCAGAGGTTGAAGATTTTGTGACTGAAAAGGAATTTTCGAAAGCAGTGTTGCAGTTTATTGACATCACGACGATCTCTTCAAGCGTTGACGATGACGGAACAGAAACGGAGTACGTCATCTGGGGCCTGAAATTCTCCGACGCCGCTGGCTGGGAGTTCCCCGCTAAAGCCGCCGCTCCCGCGTCGGCCTCCCCCGCCGACTCCCCGCCGCGCGCGCAATCTTCCGCACCGCTTCCGCCTGGCGCAAGCGGATATTTCGGCGCTCCGCGCATCGTTCCGACGGTGATTCCGCCGAAGGTTGCCAATCTGGCGGAGCGCGGCGCGCAGACGATCGCGCCCTCGGAGGAGCCAATGAAAAGGCTGAACGGACCGCGGGAGGTAGATCTTGACCTGCTGCCGAAATACATGACGGACGACGATCTGACGCGATATATCTTCGATTAAGTTACGGCTTCTTATCACGTTGGGGGAAGCTGGGACAAGAAAGTACCTCGGCGAGGTTCGGCGAGGGTCGGAGGAGGTTAGCTGGGAGGGTGGGATGGAAGTTGCTGCTGGTTGGGTTCGAACCCGCGACCTTTTGATTCGCAGGTGCAGCGGAGCTTGCGAATATTGGTCTGGAAGGGAACCCTATCGGACGGTCCTTGATGCGCCACGCTTTGAGGATGTTCCCAGAGACGGCGGTTTGGAGTCGCCTGAGTGGGGTCCGCGGCCCGTGGGTGTACACGTCCGGAAATGGGGTGCTGGTTCGGAACGAGGCTGGTGAAAATCAGGTTCGCGATCAGCCCTGGGATTGGCAGCAGAAACAACAGGAAACAGGGCGAACTGGAGAGGAAGGATATGGCAAGACTGTCTTGTGTTCGCCTGTGTTACAAGCTGACCGTACATAAGCAGAACCAAGTTCTTCCCAATCAAGTGTGAACCAAGTGTTTTCTCCTCCTTCCCTTGTTCCCTTTGCCTTGATCCTCACATCCTCCTCCTCCCCGCTCACTCCGTTCCCTCTCCATCACCCCCAACAACACCTTTTCCAGCCACCCACCCCCCTCCGTCCCTCACTCTCTCTCTTCGTCCGTCCACCCCCTCCCTCTCACTCGCTGCACCTCCACTCTCTCCCCCCTCCCGCCCCTCTCCACGCACTCCACCTCCCTCTGTCCTCCCTCCGGCGATGATGCCAGCTGGCACCTGCCCGCCAGCCTGTCAGCCGCACTTCAATCTTTGAATATTGGACTAAGGGTTTATGTTCAAGTGCTTCGTGCTGCTGTGCTCATCTCTGCAGCATTCTGATTGCTGCCGTCTGTCACTTGCAGCTGCCGATATAGCATCTCTTCGCTGCTTCCAGCTGCTGCTTCTCTCTGCTTCAGCTGTATCGGTTGCCTCAGCTGCTCCAGCCGCCTCTTGCTGCTGGTTCTCTGATAGTTTGCTCTGTAGTAATTTACACTAGTTTCATTTACCAATGCTTTTACATTTCTATTCATTTCGACATCTCCCCTTTCCCCATACTGTCCCTCCTGCTGTGAGGGGGCATGGAAGGTGCGGAGGTAGTTGTTACCTGCAACTTTGCTGTAGTTATGTATTTTAATTTTGTAGAACGATGCTTCTGTTCTCACCTATTTAGCTGGTGATGGCATCATGCTGGTTCAACCCTATTATCCAGTTTCAGTTTTGCAGTCTAGCATAAATAAATACTATACGGTATTCATTCAGTACACCTCTAATACATGTGGTAATCCTCCATAAAAGCAGCATCAGTGCTTACGTACATGCCATACAGCAGCACACACCTCAGGAGAGGGACTAATGTGTTAGAACAGCTATACACATCTGGTGGTTAATGGATGGGCATTAACGATGTGGATTGCCAAGAGCAGGTACCATACACAGAAGGATGTTCTTCAGCCAACCAGAAAACGCATGGATTGCCAAGAGCAGCTATACACAAAAGGACGTTTTTCAGTTGACCAGAAATACGGTAGCATGAACTAGTGAGAACATCTATACACAGGCGGTGGCCCCACCACCACATGCAATGCACCCCAACAAAATGCATGTAAGCACGGGAGATGCTGCGCAGCGGAGCGTACGGTGGTGGTGACGGTGATGCTGGTTCTGATGGTGATGATGGTGATGATGGTGATGATGGTGATGATGGTGATGATGGTACTGATGGTACTGATGGTGCTGATTGTGATGATGGTGGTGATGGTGCTGATGGTGCTGATGGTGCTGATGGTGCTGATGGTGCTGATGGTGCTGATGGTGCTGATGGTGCTGATGGTGCTGATGGTGCTGATGGTGCTGATGGTGCTGATGGTGCTGATGGTGCTGATGGTGCTGATGGTGCTGATGGTGCTGATTATGATGATGGTGACGATGGTGGTGATAGTGGTGATGGTACTGATGGTGCTGATGGTACTGATGGTGCTGATGGTGATGATGGTGATGATGGTGCTGACGGTGATGGTGCTGATGGTGATGATGGTGATGATGGTGATGATGGTGATGATGGTGATGATGGTGATGATGGTGATGATGGTGATGATGGTGATGGTGCTGATGGTGATGATGGTGCTGACGGTGATGCTGGTTCTGATGGTGCTGATGGTGATGATTGTGATGATGGTGATGATGGTGGTGATGGTGGTGATGGTGGTGATGGTACTGATGGTGCTGATAGGGTTGATGCTGCTGATGGGGTTGATGCTGCTGATGGGGTTGATGCTGCTGATGGTGCTGGTGGTGCCCTGGTGAGCGATTTTTTAGAATTCTAAAAAATTAATGGTGCTGGTGGTGCTCCAGAGCGCTCAGTTGTCTAATAATATGTGCCCTGCGTGAACCGGCACCCTCAGATATTACCAAGTACCTCCAGGTACATCTGGTTACCCCAGATCGCTCAGGTGTCAGATAGACCGTGCCCTGAATGTAACGCACTCCCAGGTACTCCCAGGTACCCACAGCTTCGTCAGGTTTCTTCTCAGGTGTCTGATAAACTCCGCCCTGAATGCAACGGAACCCCCAAGTACTCCAAGTGGTTGGCTATACTGTCGCCCACCACTGACCTGCCAGGTGGGAAGATGATCATAAAGGGGAGGGGAAGAGTGGGTCGTGAGTCAGTAGCATGGGAGGGCACTCGCAGGTACTCCAAGTGGTTGGCTATGCTGTCGCCCACTACTGACAGGTGGGAAGATGATTCAAGAGGGAGAGGGGAGAGGAAATGGGATTGAAAGCAGGGAGTTTACTCCAGGGAGCAGACGAGGGTAGTTAATAAGAAGGGAGATATGGGGGGACCATAAGGGAAAATGAAGGTAAAGAAAAACTGCACATGTTAGTTCATGTGCCATCTTCATAAGGAAAACGCTGAAAATGCAGGCGGAGCAAGACCGAGAAAACACCATACACACACCATACACCATAAACACCGTACACACACAAGTGCACAAACACATGTTTCCTCTTCCTCCAAAATTCCTCTTCCGCCCTTCCTTTCCCAACACTGACATAATATGAGCTTCTAGCAGAACACCAATGCCGACCAGGATCTGAAGGGCAGTTAAGGTGCACGCGTAAAATAACTCCACAGCGTACAAACCCCTCAGCGTTTTAAGGTGCACGCTGAGGGGTTCGTACGCTGTGACTTTTGAGTCGACTCAAAAGTCACCTCGTTACAATGGCACACGACACTTTTGAGTCGACTCAAAAGTCACCTCGCTGAGGGGTTTGTACGCTGTGCACCTTAGCTGCCCTTCAGATCCTAGTCGACATTGGTGTTTTGCCAGAAGCTCCAATACTAAAACTCAGGCTTTTAAGACCCCTCTTTCTTCTCATCTATGGTAACACGGCAGAAGGTACCGGAAGCATGATAGCGGGTAGGGAACAGGGCACAACCCCACCTGCAGCAGCAAGGATATTTGCGTGTCTCGAGTTTTGAGATCACCCATCCTATCTACCTGCTGCCCCTTTTCCACCCATGCACTGATACAAGTGATGAGGTTAAGACAAAGAATGCCACGCACCTGCTGCAGCAAGGATAATTGCGTGTCTCGAGTTTTGAGATCACCCATCCTATCTACCTGCTGGCCTTTTTCCACACATGCACTGATACAGGTGATGGAGGTTAGGACAAATAAAGCCACGCACCTGCTGCAGCAAGGGTCTTCGCCTGTCTCGTCACACTGGTGTATGTGCCACGTCAGATTACCTGCATGCCACGTGGGAGGTGGGGTGAAAACAGCGGAGGAAGAGGGTGTGAGCGCGTGTGCAATGGGGCAGACGTGTGTGCGATGGGGCAGGCATATATTGCGCATGTGAAAACCCACCTAGATGACTGGTGTGGCTGTCTATTTCATCCAGCACGAGCGTTCGCTCTTGTAACAGCTGCCACTGTAATGTTCTGTGACTTTTGAGGCGTCCCGGAATGTGTTACTCTCCTACATGTGAAGACCCACCTTGATGTCTGGCCTGGCTGCTTATATCATCAAGCACGAGCATTTCCTCTTGCGACAGCTGCCAGTGTAACGACGTTCCTCGTTGTTGTAACGATCGACGATGCAACACTCGCCGGGGCAACGACCCGCGTTGCCTCAGCAGGTGTGGTAAAGAAACCAAGCCAGAACGCTCCTTCAAACTTGGTAGAGCTGAACTTGATGGACTGAAGGAGGTGTTGTGAACAGAGTCCGGGATTATCCAGGCCTGCAGTGAGAGGGAGTGGGGAAGAGAGGGACATGGTAATGGCACTAATGTGATCCTCGTTGTAACGATCGACGATGCAACACTCGCCGTGGCAACGACCGGCGTTGCCTGAGCAGGAGAGGTAGAGAAACCGAGCCAGAACGCTCCTTCAAACTTGGTATAGCTAAACTTGATGGACTGAAGGAGATGTTGTGCACAGAGTCTGGGATTATCCAGGCCTGCAGAGAGAGGGAGTGGGGAAGAGAGGGACATGGTAATAGCACTAATGTGATCCTCGTTGTAATGATCGACGATGCAACACTCGCCGGGGCAGCGACCGGCGTTGCCTCAGCAGGTGTGGTAGAGAAACGGAGTCAGAACGCTCCTTCGAACTTGGTAAAGCTGAACTGGATAAACCAAAGGAGACGTTGTTCACAGAGTCCGGGATTATCCACGCCTGCAGTGAGAACGGGGGATGGGTAAATGCGTACATAATTATAACAATAGTAATAATAACAATAATAATGATCATATAAAAAAAACTAAAAAAAACTCAATCAGTGGCCACCGGTGGTAAATGGTTACGGGGGGGCAAGTGAAATTTTTAGACGCGTAGGTAATAATGATAATACTGAAAAAACAAGAGGCGACAAAATCGTCTTAGGGTTGCGAAGCAACATGTTGTAACAAGTTTTTTTATTTTTGGTGAATTACACTGTCATTTATAGACACTTGATATATAATATATGAAATATAACTGAATTGTTGTGGTCATTTAGAGCACAGATTTGGTTGTTTCACAATATGTGATTGTTGAGAACTTATTTGTGTCTGGTTATTCATGTTATTTTCAGATTATTGGATTTTATTATCGTAATGGTTTCATACTTTGACGTCAGAAGGCATTTGGTTTTTTTGCGTGACAATATCGACAAACAAGTGTAATACGTAGCTATTTCGCGCAAAATTTCTCAATCGTCAACATGCACGAATCGAACCTGTAACCTTTCGATCAGTTTCCCTACTTCTTACCGTCTGCGCCAACTACCCTGATTCTACCGAGCTTCGTGCAGGTTAGTACAGGGAGTTTTGCGACGGAATTGTTACTGCCTTAGGGTTTGTGTCCCTGCTTGGTTCTTTAGTGCCGTTAGTCGTGCTCCTACCTACCGCTCAGAGGTAAAGATAACCCTACCTTAAGCTATTAACAAGAGCTAAGATAGATACTAACCAATGTTGTTCCTAGTAGCCCTCATTCTCATCCATTCGTCTCTCCCTAGTCTGTTCACATTTAGTTGTTCTTAGTTTTCTTCGTTTTACTGCTTCCAGCCCCGGACGATCCATCTCCCTTTCTGTCCAAATATTCCTCCTTTTTTCTGTTACCCGTCGTCTTTCTCCTCGTTTCCTTTTGTTCCCTTATTCATTTTGGTATCTCAAAGCGCTTTTCTTCAATTAAGTTTTCAGCAGATTATTATGTATACTTTAATGTGCTTTTTGTTTCTTGTTCCCTTCTTCGAATCGTACTTTTCGTTGTTCGCAGGTCATTAAGTGAGTTTCACGTGTCTCACGTACCTCACGTACCTCACACCACTCTCGCCACTCACGCCAGTCACACTATAACTCATAGTAAGGTAAGCTTCACTCTCTCTATTCTTAATCTCATTCTAGTTGATGGTGGTTCTTTCTACCGTTTTCTTCCTCCTTTACTTCCTCTTCTTCTTTCTCCTTAACATTCGATAGAGAACTTCCACTCGTTCTCATGCTTGTCTTTCTGCGTTTTCGAGTGAATCTCAATCTTTAGCACGGTCGTTATTGTCTTTCCTTTCGTTCAATGTTTAGCGTCGGAACACTCATTAAAAGACCTTAACAGATTTCTCTTGTTTTCGTCCGTGTTTGTTTCTTTGCATAAGTTATGTCGTAGCAGTATGTCGTTTCCATTCATCGTGTATATCGCTATTCAAAGGCTGCAACCCAAGATGCTATGTCCTTCTGAATTATTGCATTCCAATTTGAATACTACATAGGTTATTTCGAAACCGTAGTTTATTGAACTCTCTCTATACCTTTTGTTCGTTCTCTCGTTCGTTCTCGTTCTCTCTCTCTTGTTCTCTTTTTCTCTCCTTCGTTCTGTCTATCTTGTTCGTTCTCTCTCTCTCTCTCCTCTCTCTCTCTCTCTCTCTCTCTCTCTCTCTCTCTCTCTCTCTCTCTCTCTCTCTCTCTCTCTCTCTCTCTCTCTCTCTCTCGTTCTCTCTCTCTCGTCCTCTCTCTCACGTCCTCTCTCGCTCTCTCTTGCTCTCGCTCTTCGTTGTTCTCGCTCTCCGTATTCGTTATATTCTCTTCTTTCGTTTACTGTCTCGTTAGTTTGTTCATCTGTTCCCGTTCCTTATTTTCATTCTATGCCTCGGTACATTCTTCTCCTTGCTCTTTGTCAGGTCTAACCATTCAATGCTCATGGCGTTTTTCTTAGCCCTTGTGTTGTTTTATTCGTTTCTTCGTTATTCCTGTTTCTCTTCATTTCATCACACCTCATACCTTTTTCTGTTTTGTTTGTTGTACCGGCTATTTCTTTCTGTTCCTCTTTTCCACTTCCTAAACCCGTTTCTCAGGAGCCTTGCTGGTCAATAAGGCGATTTCAATCTGGAAAATGTGTATTGGTCACTAGGATTTATCGTACTGTCCTTTTAACGTCGATTTGCTTGTTATTTATTATCGCGTGTATCGCGTGTTTTTTTGCTGGGTTTGCCAGAGCTCGTGTTTTTTATTGTGTGAATGCGTTGGTGTGAGTGCATTCATCTCATTTGTCATTGCAATATCAATGCATGTCTGTCAATTTTAAAAAGGGGGTTCATTTCTATCATTTCTCATTGGTTCATTGGCGCACTCAGTGACTCGTGTGTTTGCCACTTCGAACTGGATTTGATAGAGTGAACCTCTTTTTTAGAGTTAACAGATTGTATTGTTTCATGTGCTAGTTGATTATTCAAAGACTTTGCTATTGACTTCCCCCCCATGCTAGGCAGGGGATGCGGTAGCCTAGTTTTTGGGTCGTTAACTATCACGCATTGTTTGATATACTGGTGTGGTGCATTTCAGCATAGCATGTGCATTTAAAAGCATTTTCATGCGTGTATCGGTACTATGCATCTACATATCATGCTTCATCATTCCATTCATTTAAGCATGCGTGGCGTGTACTTCATTACTAGTATTCATAACATTTATTATATCCAATTATCACAAAAACATCAAACAGTATCATATATACGCACAAAACTACTACAAAAAAACTGCTATACATATTAAAAACTGTTCAACATGTACAATGGGAAAGGTGGTAGTGTAGCTTACGAAATGTCTTTTCATGTTTTATAAAAAAAAAACATGAAAAGAAAATTTGTATAGATCGATCGTAAAGGGTTGCTTCGCAACCTGATGGTTGCGGGTGGCAAGTGAGGCACAAGGTCCTTCCAGTTGGTCACACTGGCGCCTACTTCTGGGGCGCCTCCTGTGGTGCTTTTGAGTCGACTCAAAATAAAACACTCACCTCCGTCGCAACGTGGTGGTAACCGATGGTTGCGGGTGGCAAGTGAGGCACAAGGTCCTTCCAGTTGGTAACGCGGGCGCCTACTTCTGGTGCGCCTGAAGTGGTGCTTTTGAGTTGACTCAAAATGAAACACTCACCTCCGTCGCAACATGGTGGTAACCGATGGTTACGGGAGGCCAAGGGCACTTTCTTGTATTATAGAACTATACATAGGACAAATCATTTTTACTCACCTCTGTCGCAACATGATGATAACCGATGGTTGCGGGTGGTAAGTGCGGCACAAGGTCCTTCCAGTTGGTCACGCGGATGCTTCCAGGAACCTTCTGGCGGAAGTAGGCGGCAAAAGCAGCATTGCCCACTCGAGGCGAGCCAAAGGTGACAACTCGAATGTCGGAAGATGGGAGGTCGTAGGACACCTGGAGGGGAGAGAGGGGGGTAAGCACGCATCAGAAGTGTACAACGGGTTGAACGAGGCATGCAGCAAAGTCAGCATTGCCCACTCGGGGCGAGCCAAAGGTGACGACTCGTAGGACACCTGGGAGGATGGGGAAGGGAGAAATAGGAGCTATGCGATCAATGGGAAAACAGCAGCTGGAGGGGTGTGAATGCAGCGTGATTTTCCACTTTTGACAAGAACATGTTTGCCCACTCGAGACTCTGGGGGAATCTGAGACCCTCTATCAAACAGACAGACACTCCTCGAGGAAGACACGATCCGGAGACACACAATCCCTTCCTCTTACCCACCTGCAAACCCGGACACAATCCGAACACACACACAAACCCAGACTCGATTCGAACACACACACAAACCCGGACACGATCCAAACACACACAATCCGTTCCTCCCACCCACCTGCAAGTCAAGAGCGCTGAGAGTAGCCAAAGCACCCCCAAGTGAGTGCCCCGTGAAGGCCACTCGGAGGGAGCGGAGGAGGAGTGGGAACCACAGACAGACCCAGCACCGGACAGACAGTAACAATCCCACAACCCTCCCACCCACCTGCAAGTCAAGAGCGCTGAGAGTAGCCAAAGCACCCCCAAGTGAGTGCCCCGTGAAGGCCACGCGGAATGATCCCGGCAGGTTAGTCATGAGGAACAGCACCGCATGCACCATGGAAGGCCGCAGGCGGGTGAAGTGGTAAGCGGAGTAGAAGCCGCGGTGGACCCGGGCGTGGGTCTCTCCTCCCTTACCGAATCAACTCACCAGTCACATACCTCAAAGCACATCGATAGTACCACCCACCTGCAAGTCGAGAGCACTGAGAGTAGCCAGGGCCCCTCCCAGGGAGTGCCCCGTAAAGGCCACACGGAAGCTTCCCGGGAGAATCGTCATGAGAAACAGCACGGCATGAACAACGGCGGGCCGCAGGCGCGTGAAGTGGTAAGCCGAATAGAAGCCGCGGTGGACCCGGGCATGGCGCAGACCGGGGTAGGAGAGGGAGCGCGGGAGGGCCTCTAGATCAGCGATCCAATTCCGCAGGGACGAAGTGCAGGTGCCCCTGAATGCAACCACTATTAGTCGAAGAGGGGGGGTCCCACCCCACGTAAGCCTGTTGTGGCAGGGGGAAAGGAACACAGAGGAACCGGAGGCAAACGCAGACTGGGGTAGGAGAGGGAGCGGGGGAGGGCTTCCAAATCGGCGATCCAGTTGCGTAGAGACGAGGTGCAGGTGCCCCTGAATGCCACAACGATCAGTCGGGAGGACGGGTCCCATCCCACGTAGGCCTGTGGGACGGGAGGGAGTGAGATGGAGCAAAGAAGGAGAAAGGAGAACGGTTGGGAGGGATATGAGCGGTGGGGGGCTGTGAAGTGGTAGGCGGAGTAGAAGCCGCGGTGCACGGCACACCGGCGTGACGCAGACCGGGGTAAGTGAAGGGAGTATCCGAGTCACAGAGGAGGGGGCGGTGGGGGACAGACAGAGGAGTAGAAGCCGCGGTGCACACGGGCGTGGCGCAGACAGGGGTAGGACAGGGAGCGGGGGAGAAAAGCCTGTCATACGCTAACCTAGGGTAGGGTACCTCTTCTTCTTGCATGTGACCCTCACCTCGAAGACTTGAGCTCAGCTGCAGGCGAGCAGTGGGCTCGATTATTACCTGGAACAAGTGACAACCCCTCATCTCAGGCAGCACGCACTGGGAGAAACAAAGGGTTTAAGCTAGGCTACCTATCTTAGGGTACCTGGGCCTGACCCTCACCTGTTATCTGGAACAGGTGAAAGCCCCTCATTTCAGGCAGCACGCACTGGGAGCAGTTCCACGCGTGTAGCAACGCGGTGTCTTCACTACCCTACACAGCGTTTCCCTGGCCTACCCTAGACTGCTTGATCGGTGATTGACCCTCACCTGTAGTTGCGCAGTTGGCTCAATTATGATTTGGAACAGGTGAAAGCCCCTCATCTCGGGAAGCACGCACTGCGAGCAGTTCCACGCGTGTAGCGACGCGGTGTCTTCACTGTACACTGTAGCGGCGTGCAGTAGCAACAGGTGAACCAGAGGCATGTCTATATCGGAGACGTTACTGCTGCTGATGATGCTGGTGGTGGTGCTGGTGCTGGGACGACTACTGCTGCTGGGAAAACTGCTTCTGCTGGAGAAACTGCTGTTATGACTGCTGCTGACACTGCTGCTGATACCTGTGCTGCTTTGACTGTCACTGCTGCTTTGAATATCAATGCTGCTGTTGCTGCTGCCTCTGCTACTGCTGCTACAGTTGCCGCTGTCCCAGCCACCAGCCAAGGAGCAACCCGTGCGCGTGACAGTAACGAAGGGCTTGTCCCTGACACAGTGCCACGGCCGCCAGTGGGGAAAATTGGACGGATCCGGCTGCTTATTCTGACCCTCTCCGTCATGTAGAAACGGCTTGCCGTCCTGTCCCTCTCCGTCAAACACAAACGGCTTGAAGTCCTGTCCTTCATCATACACAAACGGCTTGCCGTCTCGTCTTTCTTCCCCACCGCTTATCTCTTGAACACGTAATTGACCTAACTGAGCGTCCGCGGAAAGAAGCAGAAGGCTACGGCCGTCCAAACCGACTGGGTCGAACAGAGACTGGACAAAAAGTTGCCTGACCGAGACTGCGCGTGCTCTGAACTTTTGGCTGACCGGAATCAGGGAATTTATACTGAACTCAGGGGGTTGGGAGGAGAGTAAACAGAAGGCTGTGACTGACAGAAGAAGGACGCCGGTTAAGGCGAGGAGACTGACGGTGACGGTGACGGACCGACACGGATACCGAGAGACTGAATCCGCTTTCATGGTTGCAAAGCCGAGTCTTTTGGGTTATTAGCCAACGTTGCTTCTAGCAGTCGTGCAGCCGCAGTGCGGAGTGGTTATTTGAGGGTGATTTAGTCAAGCGTGATACTGCCGAACGAGGCGTGACCCCTACTGAGCGTGACACTGACGAAAGTGACTGTCGAACGTGACACTGCCGAGCGTGACACTGAAGAACGTGACACTGCTGAACGTTACTTCCGAACGTGACACTGCCAGACGTATCGCTGTAGAGATAACCCAGCACGGATAGTTGAGCAGGTAAAGGGAAGCGGAGCTAAGGAAGGAAAAAGCGCATGTGTTAGGAGCTGAGGCAGCAGCGAATGGAAGCTACAGCGAACTAGCAGCAACCATGGCTACCAGAAACTGAGAAACCGAGCAGGTAACAGTCTGGCAACGTGCGGGACGATGGTTTGACGGGACGAGAAGAGATTCCTGGCCTCACACTCGCGCCTGGCAGCCACACGAAGCGCAGTGACGCGCTAAAGGTGTGAAGAGGCATCACCAGCAACCTAAAGCATAAGCGACACGTGTTATGGTTGATTGGCTTCCATCAGCCTTTCTAGTGCGCAGAGGCGAAGACTGCATGTGTGTGACATCCGTCTGGTGTGTACGGGTGTGTGGAGGTTTGGAGAGGTTTTCACAGATGTACAAAGCCCGTATACACGTACAGACAACCTTCCTGAAACATGATTCTTGAACTTCGTATGCGTGGACCTTGAGAACTCCACCACGTGACAGGCACCAAGCCAAACCGGTGAAAACTCCTCCACACACACTTGACACTGACACACACCCATACTGTACACATGCCATAGCAGTGTGGGGGAGATGCTGACGCTCGTACAGTAATGGCTGACGTGTTGGGCCCATCCTCTGACCAGGACGGAGCTGTGTGTGGTCGGGAATTCAGCTGGGCTGTCGGAAATGATTGAAGCTTTCGCTTAAAGCACACACAAGTGAGGCACACGAGTTCTTCGGGCTCGTGAAGCACAATCGAGAGCATTCCAGTTCCATTGATGTTCCTTGTGCCGTATCTTTGTGCTCCAGCTTATGTACACCTAAACACATATTATTCGATGGCAAACATAGAATGTCCCTGCCTGATTGTGGTTCAATGAGGTGCTCTACTAACTACGGCCCAATTAATTTAAGAAAATGAGGGAAGTGGAAACTGCAAAAAAATACTTGGGCTTTACATACCAATAAATAACAGCCATACATTACACATATTCTAACCTACTGGGATATCTACCACGGTGTATTAAGTTTCAATAAAGGCCTGACATGCGTGACTGCAAGTGAGACGAATGACCTACCTGGGATCTCAAAACGTATAGGCAGGCCCCCGTAGTCAACTTGCCTAAAATCCTCAGAATAAGTTGTTCTCCATGCTAGCACCTCGGATTTGCCGCCAATATTCTTCTGAAACCACCAACTAATGGCGACACTTACCGTCCTCGGAGTCGCCTTTTGGTTCACAACAAACACGCTTATCATCCTCTTCTTCGGGGTGTAGAAAGCTGCAATCCCAAAATTACACCTCCCCTTGCTTAGGACAAGCTTTCGGCTCCCCCGGGGAGCAAGGCTCGTAAAATGCTTCAATATCCAGAACTTCTTGGAGACCGTAGGCGGAGTGTACACTGTAGACGCATCAGGAGTCTTCGACCAATCGATATTAATCAGCGCCCAAGTCGAAGATGGGTCCATTGCTTGCCAGTACACCCACCCAGAAGCTTCCAGAATGTTTATGGAAGCGATAATAGATCTCGCCATGTACAGCGCTACACCCAAGTCATCCCCATCCCGATCCATAGGCCCCCATTCCGAAATCCAAACCGGTTTTGTCGCCGACCTTGCCGCCACTTTCATATCGCGGAAGTTTGTTCTCGTCCACTCAACCGGATCTGCCCCGTTTTTCGCCAAGCTCATGTAACCGTGCACGTTGTAACGGTAAATATACCCATTCAAACTCGCGATGTTTTCTGGAGTCCTCTCTACAAAGCTATCCACAGAAGCAAGCTTCGTTTTAAGCTGCTTCCTTTGCAGAGAAGCCTGAGTCTTCTGTAGAACGCGCCTCATCTGGTCTACACCGATGTTGCACCCCTCCTGCCCTCCCCCTTTCTTCCACCACCCCTCCAGTGGCTCATTAAACGGCTCCAAAGTATCAAATACCAGTCCCTTGCCCCAAGTTCTATCATTTGCAAACTTCTGCACCACGTCAGTGAGAAATTCGGCGAATGCTGTTTCGTACTCCACTTTCAAGTTACCCTGCCCGTATGTGGCTGCTCCAGAAACATCCCCAGACACCGTCATCCACCACGGCGGGCTGTTGGAAAAAGCTTCAAACGTGTCCGCCCCCCGTGCCCGGGCAGCAAACAAAACTTTCCGCTGCCTGTCATCCGCTGCCCAGTTATAGGCCGAATTCTCCGTGGCTTTAAAGCCCGGCATGCCCCGCCATTTGAGACTGTCTGACTGAAACTGCGGGCTGTTAGTAGCACTATGGCCGCCTCCTATGTTGTAGCGAACTATGTTGAGGTTTAGGCCCGAGGGGGAAAATAGGAGGTCCATTAGTGGGTTAAAGTGGTTGTCTGGGAAGCCGCCTACGAAGTTTCCTAGCCTGGGAGGGAGAGAAAGTGGGACGGGTTGGTAAGAGGGGATGGGGGGTCAATGATTTTTTTGTTGAGAAGTTAGATTGGTTCTGTAGTTCTTTAGAAATGGCATTATATACAAATATATACATATATATATATATATATATATGAGATTCGTGCTAAGGTCATCAAACAATGGTTAAAAAGTTCTGAGGAATTGACAAGTGAGAATGGAGCACTGACAGATCATATGCGAACGGAAGGTCAGTAACAGTGGGGAGTGGCTTTCCAGCAGAGGGACGTGCCCCAGCCTTGCCACTTGTTGCCACCGTGGTGGGGCCAGAGAGGGCACTTGTCAGAAGAAAAAGTGTGTAGGAGGGGTAGGGATGTGTAGGGATGGAGATCCCAAGGGATTGGCGGAAGTGGGCGGGTGGGAAAAGTGGGCGGGTGGGGGAAGTCGGGAGTGGCTTACCAGCAGAGGGAGGAGCCCCATCCTTGCCACTTGTTGTGCCACCGTGGGTTCAAAGTCACAGACGCGGGGCCTGGGAGAGGGGGGAGTGGGGGGAGAGGGTGGGGGGAAGTTATGGGAGAGAGGGGCGGGCTTACCAACAGAGGGACGTGCCCCAGCCCTGCGACTTGTTGTGCCACCGCGGGTTCAAAGTCACTGACGCGGGGCCTGGGGTAGGGGGGAGTGGGGGAGAGGGTGGGAGGAGTGTGGGGGAAGTGGGGGAGAAGGTGGGAGGAGTGTGGGGGGAGTGTGGGGGGAGGATGGGGGGAGTGTGGGGGGAGGGTAGGGTGAAGAGGCACGGCCAAGAAGAGTCTCCTTGTTCCTCCACCGCGGGTTCAGAGTCACTGACGCGGGGCCTGGGAGAGGGGGGAGTGTGTTGAGAGGGTGGGGAGAGGTGGGGGAAGAGTGGGGGGAGAGTGGGAAGAAGTTTGAGAAGAGAGGGGCGGGCTTACCAACAGAGAGACGTGCCCCAGCCCTGCGACTTGTTCCGCCACTGTGGGTTCAGAGTCACTGCCGCGGGGCCTGAGAGAGGGGGGAGTGTTGGAAGAGGGGGGTGGGGGGTGGTGCGGGGAAGCGGAGGGGCATGCGATACTCAGTCTACTTGTTCCGCCACCGTGGGTTCAAAGTCACTGACGCGGGGCCTGGGAGGAGGGGAAAGGTGG